ATGACCATCTGTGGGTTCTTTTATGGCAGGAGTTTGGACTGGATGGCCCTTGTGGTCTCATCCATGTATATGATTTCACGATTTTTTGGCAGAGTGACAATTCTAGCCCTGGTCTACAAAGTCATAGTTAAATACTCAACCACTACACATGGCTTGCTGGCACTCTGCCATCACACACTACGATTGAAAACAGTATCCTTCCTTTCACTGCATATTGACAAAAGCATTTTATCCTGATGTACACATATTCGTTCTAGTTTAAATAATTTATATTAAAATAGTAGTAAAGTATGCCCTTTACAGTTATTTTGATGGTACATCCTATACCAAATTCTATGGCCTCCAGCTACCCTCTAGTGGGGAAAGTGGGCAATTTATCTTTTTTATGAGTTAGACATCTATTTTACATCAGTCAAAATGCCTCTAGACTTCATGTGGACTCAGAGAGATGTTGTCAAAATCAGAGATTAATACACTGAGATCAGGACCAAGTTCCTCTTGGTCTACTGGGGGAGTCAGGCATCCTCAGAGGTTGGGAGGTCTGTTGGAAACTAGGAAAATGGGGTTTATATTTCTGTGGAATGTCCAGGATGGGAGAAAGACCTCTTGTCTGTTTGAGGTAGGTGTGAATGTTTTGATTGGCCACCTTGATTAGTATTTAATGCCTAGCAATTTCAAGGTTTGGCTTCTTACTGCCTGCGGGAATTCTTTGTTGAAAGGTGTTAGCTGGCCCTGGTTTCCTCTCTAGAATTCACCTGTGTCTGAGTGTTGTTTTACTGTTATAATTTTAGAGGTCTTTTTAAATACTGGTAGCCAGATTTTATTTTCATTGTTTCCTCCTTTCTATTGAAATTGTCAATGTGCTTATGTATTTCAATGGCTTCTCTGTGTAGCCTGACATGGTGGTTGTTAGAGTGGTCCAGCATTTCTGTGTTCTCAAATAATATGCTGTGTCCAGGTTGGTTCATCAGGTGCTCTGCTATGGCTAACTTCTCTGGAGTGCCTTTTGTGTTCCTTGATTTATCTTTGGGCAATGCTGCATTTGGTGGTCCCTATGTAGACTTGTCCATGGCTGCATGGTATACAATAGACTCCGGAAGAGGTGAGAGGATCCTTCTTGTCTTTTGTTTGAATGTAGCATTTGTTGGATTTTCATAGTAGGTCTGTAGATAATTTGTAGGTTGTGTCTCCTCATCAGCTTCCCTATGCAGTCAGTGGTTCCCTTGATGTATGGCAGGAACACTTTTCCTCTGGGTGCATCTTTGACTTTACTCTCGTGACTTGTTCTTGGCCTTGCAGATCTTCTGAAATCCGTGGTGGAGTATCCATTGGCCTGTAAACCCAGTTGAGGTGGTTCAGTTAGTCTTGGGAGAAGGTGGGGTTTGCAGATTCTTTTTGCAGACCATGCAAAAAGAATCTGCGAACTTCACCTTCTCCAATACTTTATTATGTAGCACCTCGATTATATAGAATTTCATCATATTGTTTTAATAATCTCAATGAACTATAGATCCAAAAAGAATGAAAAAAAATCCAATTATATTTTTATAAGAATTATTCCAGGGTCTACAACCTTATTTGTCTTTCAAGACATTTTTCTCTCTCCAAGTTGCAATCCCTATCAATATTGGTGGTATTGAATTTATTCATACATTCAAAAGTGATTGGAATGTACTTGTTTTGGGATTATTTTTAAGTAGGTGGGATTAACATGCTGAAAGTCACACAGGCAAGATGTGGTAAATTGATAAACCATACCAGCAATCATGGCACTTACAAAATTAGTATATTCAGTTTGGAAAGTTTAACCAGTGTCCATACAGTAGGAGACTTGATTATTCATTCTTATACATTATTCATTCTTATATATTGCTAGCCGTCATTTGCCACACATTGCTGTGGCCCAGTCTGTGTATATGTGTTTTGTGCATGTATATGTGTGTGTGTGTATTTGTGTATATATGTCTGTTTGTGTATATATATGGTTTTGTGCATGCATTGTAATGCATTTTTTGTTTTTTGGCTTTTTAATTCTCTTCTGCTGTATTTTTCAGTATTTTTATGAGTGATGGTCACTTGTTGGTCTGATAGGTGTATTGTGTCCAAATTTGGTGTCAATTCATCCAGTGGTTTCTGAATTATGTTAATCCCACAAACAAACATTACATTTTTATTTATATAGATTTCTTCTTAGGAGCCCCCAGTGGCACGGTGGGTTAAAGCACTCAGTTGCTGAACTTGCTGGCTGAAAGTTCTCAGGTTTGAATCTGGGAGCAGCATGAGCTCCTGCTGTTAGCCCCAGTTTCTGCCAACCTCGCAGTCTGAAAACATGCAAATGTGAGTAGATCAATAGGTACCTCTCTGGCAATAAGGTAAGTCCTCCATGCAGTCATGCTGGCCACATGACCTTGGAGGTGTCTATGGACAATGCCGGCTCTTCGGCTTATAAATAGAGATGAGCACCAACCCCCAGAGCCGAACACAACTGGACTTAATACTTATTGCAAAAATACTCTGTGGTGAAGTGTGAATTTTAACCTACAGTCATGTATAATTATAGGTAGGTGTTTAAAGGGGTAAGTATTTAAAATAGCATAACTAGGGGGATGGTAGCCAGCTCAGCTCACTCTGAGATGGGTTGCCATGGAAAAAGGGGAGGAGCCAACTGCCACTTGGCAAGAGCAGGCATTTTAAATAGGCAGTCTGTGGTCAGAGAACCAGCAGGGAAAGCTGGTTCTACTGTGTTGAGAATCAGGAAGGTTTAGGCTTTTAGCCTGTGTGGTTTAGATAGGCCAAGTTGACTTATTTAGATTAGTAGTTAGAGTTTGAGCAAAAGAAAAGGGAAGAGAACCCCAGTAAGAATCTTTACTGTAACAGAGATAACAGAGGGAAAGAATAGGCTAGTACCTGGAGTGATCTGTTAAGGAAAGAAACACATTTTGAAGGAAATAAGTTTAAAACCTGTCTAGTGGAAAGAACAGTCCTCTTAAGAGTTGTTTTATGAAAGGTTATAAATGTAACCACTAAAGGAATGTACTTCTAAGAGTTAAGAAACATTGAAACCATTAAGCTTCTATACTTCAATAAACTTATTACAGTTTCTCTTAAATCTAAGTCTCTGTTTTGTATACTTTTGAGTCAAGCTGCGCTACACATCAAAGGAAGATAAACAACATATTACAAGCTAGTGGCTGTGTTATCAATTGTATAGATTCATTACAAATTGTAGGAGACCCTGACAAATCAGTAACGTCCCTACAACTGCTGGCATCGTTACATTTACCTTTACCTATTCAGATTCTGAGATCTAAAATATGTTAGCTCTTCACCATTTGAGGAACAAAACCAATCACTGTTGTGCTCAATATAAGCATTTATTTTAGAATTATTTTTTTAAAAACCACAGATCTCTGCGATTACATTTCACAAATACCATATATTACAGTGAAAAGGAAAATACATAGCTCTAGTTGTAAGTAAAGTTAATAGGAACAGGCTTGAAAAATCCATAAATTCTTCATCTAAAAGACTGCGCATCAGATCCTTGATTCTAAAAGGCCTGTGTGCTATTGTATACCACTGGAATGCAGTATGGTGAAACATGTACAGGGGAAAGAAAACAGCTCGTTTCATGTCTAATTTTGACTGTATGGAACTGAAACGGACAACAAAGCACCATTCCAGACATCATTCAAGCTAAAGAAGGAAGGTGAATCCAGCCACAGCACATCCAGTAATACCTAGGTAACAAAGATTTTTTTTTGGTACTCATAGATCAGAAAGGCAGCCACTGTTCAATGACATGTTCATATCCAAAATCATCGCCTATACCCTTTGCCCTGGCAGTGGAGAAGTACTAACAATGCAATTAAGCATATATTGGATGTAAAATGCCATACCCTACATAATTACAATCACCACAAGACAATCTTGTACGTAGATGACACAAGGCTTATGGTTGTCAGAAACTACACACAGTCCAGGAGGTGGATAGCCTACCAGACATTTTCTGCCTTCCCTGAAAAAAAAAAAGTTCTTGGAAGCATTTCTTCCTATATAAGTGTGCCCTGATGGACTTACATGCTGGCAATGGCGGTGCTATAAATCAATGCCAAGCACCTGCCATTTAAATCATCCCCATAGAGCATTGTCAGGCTTTTAGAAGGCATCCCTCCCAGTGGCCTGATAATGTTATGTGCAAACACAAGATGGACAAATCTGTAGTTGACAGGAGAGAGTGGTGGCTTAAGGAAGGCAATGTTCAGCATCAACATTCCCATCTAAAGCAGATATTCTTCATTCATCAGGATTTATAGATGAGTAGACCCACCTTTCAATAATTGATTCAGTATGTCTACTCTAGCTGGATTAACCAAAAGGAAGGAGCCATGGTGGTGTAATGGGTCAAACCCTTGTGCCGACTGAACTGCTGGCCTGAAGATCAGCAGTTTGAATCCGCAAAACAGGGTGAGCTCCAGTCTGTCAGCCCCAGCTTCCCATGCAGGGACATGAAAGAAGTCTGTCACAGGATGGTAACACATCCTGGCACCCCCTTGGCAATGTCTTTGCAGATGGCCAATTCTCTCACACCAGAAGCGACTTGCAGTATATTCTCAATTAGCTTCTGACACAATTATTTAAAAAAAACCCAAAGAGGATTCAGGATTTCATTAACTGGGAAGCAGGGTTGCAGGGTTGGGAAGCAGGGTTGACCCATTGTACAAAGTGTTCCAATAGTAGAATTCGCTTTTGGCTAAGTGATGATATCTTCTGAAACCTGGGAGGGTGGAGGAAATTGTGTAGGTAGAATACAGCCTAAATGGTGTGTGTGTGTGTGTGTGTGTGTGTAAGCCCCACCGGCTCCTTGAGAGACTTGAAAGAGATGGGAAAAGTTAATTTAATTTTCCCATTTAAATCCATGGATAGTGGCTGGATTGGGTTCTGATTGGGTTATGTCAAACAATAAAAGTGTCAATCAGTTAATGAATGTTTTTTTTAAAAAAATATATCCTTAGGTTCCCTGTGACTTGGCTCACCAGTAACTACATCTACTGGCTATACCAAGGCAAAAAAATGAATTTAACAAGACAGTCATTGTCTCTAAATCTAGGGCAAACACTCGGCACAATGGTAGCTATGGGAACATTCTTTCCATTTGGAAATACCAATTGAAAACTCTACATTTTGAATTTGTGTTTGATGAATCTGACACAGCAGATAAATAAGGGATATGACTGTCAAACCACACTTAAATCTGGGATTGAAGCTGGACTGTTTTTACTGTATAGTCTCTTGTGCTAATGCAACTGAGCAGTGTGTTCTGTGAGCAGCTGGCTAACTGTGTTGGCACTTGGAGTCTATAAACATTACTGCTGGCATGGGTGGCTACGCCTGCAGCGTAACATTTGGGGTTTTGTGCTGCACCAGAACAGCTGCTGGCATAGTGCAACCTAAAACAGTCTTACGTCTGGGTCGTTTGAGAGCTGCTCCATTACAAGTCCAAGGAAATGACACAATACTACCAAAATAGAACAAGCACTACAGCAAAACTGTAGAGTGGACATGTCGATTATCTGGCTACAGCCTGGAAATAATGGAACGACTGATAGGAAAGCTTTGGCGTCTTTGTGCCCAACACATTGTGCCTAGCACACCTGAATATCTTTTGTCGTGTATCGTATGAAATTTTGTCTTAACACTTTATTTTTTACCAGCCTCCACATAAAACTGTGGAAAGCTAAGCGTGTTTTGGTTGTTGCCCATATAAAACGGTGATAGACCTGTTATGTCATTTGTTGTGTGGGTTGGGATGAAGAGTTGACAGGAATTCCATGCTCTCGTTTTTCTGTAGCAGCAGAGAAATAGAAAAGATCTTGATACAGCACAGCTACAGAGGTAGTTGTAGCTTGAAAAGTAAGGCTGTAAAGATTCCTGCTTTTAGGTTGATCCTGGTTCAAGCCTGGCACACTGGCTTTGGAGCAGATGCCTCAAAAGGAGAGCAGAAAAAGGGTATCTTGACCCGAAAAGCATGCTAAGTCCACTTTCCATTAGGAAAACACAACAGAGATGCAAACAGGACAGTCTTTTAGACACTTGGTAACAAACAGTTTGACTGAAAACAATTACAAGCCTTATGTACAATACAAATATTTGCTGTCCTAGAACAGAGTTCGAAGTGTTTTAATCGTGACCTAATATCACTCTACAGCAAAGTAAGCCATTAACAATGCAATCCAATGCATATCTACATATAAGGAAATCCCACTAAGTTCAGTGGATCTTACACTCTGGTAACTGCGTATAGGACAGTCGCCAAAGAGGGAAACAATCATTAAAGGCAATATCTACAGCTGGAACAAACATCAGATTTTTCCAATTCTTATGAGACGACAGATGCTAGAAATTTATATACAATACTTTAAATTACACTTCGAACAATGTAAACAGAGAGAAGCATCAAGGCATCACTTCCGCCAAAATTAGGGCATCAGTATCTAAAGTATCCTATCTCTACACAGGCAACTTTGTGTCCTACTCCTTCATAAGAGTGGAGAAACACTTGTCTGTTGTCACATGCTTGTAATCTACTCTTGTAAAGAAGTATAACTTTTAAAATAGTTTTGGTCTGCTTAGAAAAGAAATCACCTTTTCTTAGTTGGTTTAGGAAAAACACTCTGCCATTTTAAATGTTCAGCTGCAAAAAGCCAGTGAATTTGGCCCTAGGTTCAAATGCCTTGGAAAATACTTCATAACACTGAAACTAGACTTGTGGAGAGTTAAGCACCAACAAGATGACACTCAACCTGTCCCTATAGGTAGTTTGCAGCTGTCATGCTCTGCGATAACCCTCAGATGTTCTGAAGCTACTAAGGGACAATCTTGCATGCATCAGACTGAGTACAAGGACAGTACTGTGAAAACGAGTTTTCAATTATTTTGAACTCTTTCCTGCCCTTGCCATCCCACCTGGCATGCTTTGGATGTGTATTCTCTTGGACCTAAACTTGGATCTGGTCGCCATCGTTGACCACCTGAAAAAAATACATTTCATGCCACTATGAAAAGAAAAGGAAAAAGAAAGGAACGGTTTCCGCCAGTGTGTTGCATAGCAAAATATCAGGCAATCTTTCAAAACCATGAGTTCTGTAAGAACGATCTGCCTCTGCCGTGGTTCTACAGTGTTGGTTTTTGTGACTCCTTTCTTTTATTTATTTGTTTTTTCAAATCTCAACTAAAATACTCAATGTACTGTCATCGGCTTGTCAGTACAACCTGAGAATGAATTATTCAAGAGATGTGCAAGCTTCATCTCAGTAGTCCTAGCTGCTGCCTGTGGAAGAACATACTGAGCTACACATATTCAGATTGGAATTTTCAGATTCTGTTTCAGTCTCAGCTTCATCGGTAGTTTCGGGAGGAGAAATGGACTCGTTCATTTGATCTTGACTCTTCTTCAATCTGTATAAAATAGAAGAAGATATTCATTATGTCAAAATAGCAATGAAAACAGTGTGTTGCCAAAGGCAGTAGGATTTCAAATGAATCTGAGGCCAATTAGGATGTTTTTGAATGAATCTCCAAAAGCTTCTTTCACATATTTTCTTCTATATATTTATTTTGTGTGTATATTTTGGCAGAGGTGTTCAAGCTCCACAGCTGTTTCAAATATCACATCCTGAGTAACTATTGTTAGTCTTGCCCAAAGTAGATCCATTGACTCAATGGGATTTGCCTATGTGTTGTCGTACCAATCAAAATTAATCAAATGGATCTATTCAGGTTGGCACAAACCAACACGATTTCAGATATACTTTCTTATATTACCACAGTAAAATAGTGAAAGGACCAAGGCAGAGACATCTCCAGCTCATCCCCTGTTTGGGTATCAACCAGCACGTCAACGACTTAAATCTAGAAATAGTTTTCTAAGATCTACAGAGACACTCGCTGGAACACCTCAGCAAGCGAGAGTCCAAAAGTGGCAGGCTCAAACCCAGAACCTCAACCAATGGCTGATACCAAATGAGAGACTCCCCCCTGGGCACACAGAGGACTGGGCGACTTGGAAGGCGCTGAACAGACTGCGCTCTGGCACCACGAGATGCAGAGCCAACCTTCAGAAATGGGGCTACAAAATGGAATCCTCGACATGTGAATGAGGAGAGGAGCAAACCACTGACTACCTGCTGCAATGCAACCTGAGCCCTGCCACATGCACCATGGAGGACCTTCTTGCAGCAACACCAGAAGCACTCCAAGTGGCCAGATATTGATCAAAGGACAGTTAATCAACTACCAAACTCACAAATTTTGTATTCTGTATTTTGTATTTTGTCTGTTTGTTTGCTTTGTTCTGTTAGAAATGTAATATAATTGACTGGCTGCTGAGGACTCAATAAATAAATACTGTAAAATGCATGCTCTCCTTCAGAAACCTGGTCCAAGTGTCCCCACTAAATAAAATGAGGTGGGTAACCACCATGGTTAACAGTATGATGCAGCAGATAAACAAGCCAATGGGATTTTGGGCTGCATCAAAAGGAGTATAGTGTCTAGATTGAGGGAAGACATGGTGCCTTTGTATTCTGCTTTGAATCATAGAATCATAGAGTTAGGAGAGACCTCATGGGCCATACAGTCCAACCCCCTGCCAAGAAGCAGGAAAATTGCATTCAAAGTACCCTTGACAGGTGGCCACCCAGCCTCTGTTTAAAAGCTTCCAAAGAAGGAGCCTTTGGTTAGACATCACCTGGAATACTTTGTCCATTTCTGGGCACCATGGTTCAAAAGAGATATTGATAAGCTGGAATGTGTCCAGAGGAGAGCGACTAAAATGATTAAAGGTCTAGATACATACCCTATGAGGAGCATCTTAAAGAACTAAGTATATTTAGCCTGCAGATGAGAAGGTTGAGAGGAGACATGATAGCTATGGATAAATATGTGAAAAGGTGTAATACAGTAAAGGACATTCCTTATGGAAAAATTAATAGGAAAAATGGACAAGCGACCAGAAACCAATGAAGCAAGCCAAATACAGAAGCTGGTGACATACTTATATTACTTGAAATGCCTTTTAGATACAGGAGTTTTTATCAGGAAATTCCCTAAAGGATCTTGGAAGCTAGACAGGGTCAGACCTGGTTAGTCCTTTGATAGGAGAATGCCAACAAATATCAAGTGCTGCAGGCTATATTTCAGAAAAAAAATACCAAATCACCTCTGAGGAGTCTTGGGGCCCTTCTACACAGCCATATAACCCAGAATAACAAGGCAGATAAGCCACAATATCTGCTTTGAACTGGGTTATCTGAGTTCACACTGCCATACAATCCAGTTCAATGTGGATTTTATACAGCTGTGTGGAAGGGGCCCTGGTCTTAGGAAACCTTTTGAAATCCATGGGGTCAACAGACAATTTGAATACATGCTTCCACATGCAGCATTTTTTACTATTAGAATGCTAATCTGTTTTTGAGCAGTGAATCCAAGGGTAGTGAACAGCCTTTCCCTGTGTGACCCCATCCTCTTTCTGTGAACTTGAAGTAATTTATCTTAGGAATTAAGCCAAAACAAACATTCACCCCCCAGCCCTGCATGAATCATATGCCCAAACTCACTTTTCTCTGTTAAAGATTACAAAGTCTTGCTGAATTGCATCAAGGCAGTCCTGGAGGTAGTCATTTTCCTATTAGAGAAAACAAAACAATTAACATACTTTAAATATCTAATCTGATTTCAGCTTATGTTCATGAATGATATTTATTTGGGCAGTATGAATGCTTGGTATAAAACAGATATAGAAAAAAATATTTGAGTCATCCATAATCATGGTTATTGCATGCTACATTTTGTTTTCATTTTCTTTAGATCACTTTAGAAATACATTCCCTGTAATATATTGTGGTAGCATGGTGTAGTAGTTAAACTGTCACTAGGACAGGAGTTCCCAAATTAAGGCATTAGATTTGACCCCCCCCCCCCAAGGTTATTGACTCGGCCCCTGCCCTAAACTTCAGTCTTAGGGTTGCCCTAAGTCAGAAGCGACTTGAAGGCCCATAACAACAACAATCCTAATTAACTCTCCAGTCCTCGAACAAGATATGTGCAGTGTGCATAGGAATTCATTCATGTTTTTTTCAAACTATAGTCTAGCCATCAACAGTCTGGGGGTCCTCTGTCTGGTCCTCTGTCTACAAAGTTTGAGGACCTCTGTTCTAGGACTGGAGATTTCTGGATAACTTTGAACTGGTCATCAGAACATGGAAACAATTTTGTGCTATAAACACCCATATTTACCCAGTCAACATGGTCATCCAAAAATGGTACTCCAAAAAGTAACCTTTTCAATAAATTCCATCAAAAAGTAAGTTTTCAATAAATGGAATCAAAAAGTAATATTTCTAGTCTATCAGCTTAACTTTAAGACCTGTGGATTATTATTACATAGATATAATAGAGGACGGAAAACCATGTAATCTGCACTGAGTTCCTTGGAGGTAGGCAAGATAAACATGTAAAAACAAAAAACCACATTATAGGATGGATATTATTATTGACTTATCAAGGAATTGTGAGTCTTTGTTCTTGCAATGGTTGGAATCTTCTACCAACTTCATACAATCCCCCCCGCAAAGATACACTTTTAATTTCTTTAGTAGTTCAAGGAAGAGTGAGGAGTGTTGGAGAAGCATTTGGTCATGTCCTGTAGCCAGTCACAGAACAACAACAATGCTTCTCTGATACTTCCCACATCCACTGGTCACTAAATGACTATGGTGTAATGGTGGAGCAGCCAAAAGGTGAATTATGTAAGGCAGTGGTCCCTAACCTATGGTCCATGGACCACCAGTGGTCTGCAAGAATGAAAATATGGTCCGCAGCCTCACCATTACTTCATTGTTGCCTTGAAATCATGCAGCACGAGAGCAACTGGTCACACAAAACACTCTTATAGTTCTGAGGCAACTGTGATGTCAGGAGGAGAGAGGCTGACTACCCATGAAAGATTACTACTACCACATCGGCTCTAGATTATTAAATATGGTTTTCTGTGGGCAAGCAGATGGCAACTACCAGATGGCATATGTTCTGTATCAGAAGCTAGAGCTGTTGTGGTCTATCCAATGCAATTTTCTGAATCAACACCCCAAATAACCAAACCAAATCTAAAATTAAGGAATGATTGAAGAGACATATTGTAGTACTGTATGTAAAATTTTTACACTAACTCTCTCTTGACCCATAACAGTATTTCTGGTCTGTGTCTGTCATGTTTGTACTTACCTGTTTGTACATTTATATCATGACTTTTCCCTATAAGAGCCTTAGGGTAATACCCTGGGCTATCTCCCTATTTTTGTCCTAAGAGAAGGATGGGTAGGATAGGGTCAGAGATTATGGAGTGTTTAGGATCACTCAGTGTGTAGGACACACAGATATAATATTTAAATATATTAAATGCATCTTATCATAAAAACTCAATTTCTAAATTATACTGTTTTAAGTTATTTAAGAGATGTGTGTGCTGATAAAAAAAATACAGCCATAGTATATGAAGCTGATACAACACACTACTCAATAAAAGACTGGTGCCCTGCCACTGCAAACAATATTCTGTTGACAGCCATATTTAAATATTAATATTTTCATTCATCCACAACTAAGAAGTTCACATTAAAACATTTCATCAATTATAATTCAAAAACGGCAATTCATGTTGTTTGTGCCCATGCCGCCTTTTATATATTGACCAAACAAGCAGAAAATTAAAATTCATACATAATTGAACATAAAAGTTGCATTAGAAATTCTAATATAGATACTTCTTTAGGAGAACATTTGTTATAGAAAAAATAGCTTATGCTTTAAGATATTTTATTGCTGAATTTGTTCACCAGTGTAGGTTTTATAATTTACATTTTCACATTATATTATTGTAAAGAGAAGTTTTTTGGGTATTAAGATTTAATATACGTTTTCCTACTGCTTTGAGTGATTGAGTTAATTACAGGAGCTATTTGTAAAAGGAATAAAACAGCTGTAGATAATTCTGACTCTAATAGTGTGTGTTCACTCTCATTACATTTGAAAGAATTTCTCCAGGTTGCCCTTTGAAACACTTCACCACCATCTAGTTAAGAAAGTAGGTCATTGTAAATGTAAATCCTCTCCTAATTAGGCTCATTAAGAACTTATGCAGGTAAATGAGCAAGTCACATCCTTTTTAAAAAAACGTGTTTGTATACTATTCACTTGAATTCTTTCTGGATAAAGCTGAAAATGCAATCTCATAATGGAGAGTCAGAATATGAATATGAATTAGTAAATCATGCTTGGCATTGTATTCATATATATTTGGTTGCTTATAGAGCGAGATCCTTATGTATTACACAATTTATTTTATAAATAGATTAAAATATTACAGAACCAAGTTTACAGAAGTTTAAAAAGAAAAAGAGTTACAAACTGATGAAGATTTCATGAAATGGTTTCAAAGATCTTGGAGACAACAGTCTCTAATTTCAAGGATCTTTGGATTTCTGAGGACTTTATGCCTTATATTCTGATGGAATTGAATTTTAATTGACATCTCCATGTAATTCCACCTTTTGTTTAAATATTGGTTAGAGCAGGGTCCTCACACTAAGGCCCAAAGGCCGGATGCAGCTTTCTAAGGTCTGTATCCGGACAAGCACACCACAACAAGCTCCATCTCCTTAGGTCCTTATTCGGACAAGCACACTACAACAACAACAATCCTATCTCATCAGCCAAAAGCAGGCTCACACTTACCATCAAAATACTAATAAGTCTATATTTGTTAAAATTAATCTTCATTTTAATTGTTGTATTGTTTTAAAGTGTTTTTTGCACTACAAATAAGATATGTACAGCGTGCATAGGAATTCATTCATGTTTTTTTCCCCAAATTATAATCTGGCCCTCCAACTGTTTGAGAGACTGTGACCTGGCCCTCTGTTTAAAAAGTTTGAGGACCCCTGGGTTAGAGAATAATACACCTCATATTGTGCCCTTGTTGTCTCCATATTGGATTACTGCAATGCATTCTATGTGGGGCTGCCTTTGAAGATGGCCCGGAAACTGCAGCTGGTTCAAAGATTAGTGGTCAGATTATTAACAGGAGCTGGCTATAGGGAGTGGTCAACTCCCCTGTTTAAACAGCTCCACTAGTTGCCAATAAGTTTCTGGTCTCAATTCAAGGTGCAGGTGATTATCTACAAAGCCCTAAACTCATCTTCCCCTACAAACCAGCACATGCCTTAAGTTCATCTAGGGAAGCTCTGCCCTCACTTTCATCGCCATCTCAAGCACGGTTGGTGGGAATGAGGGAGAGGGCCTTCTCAGTGGTGGCCCCTAGGCTCTGGAACTCTCTACCTAAGGAGATCAGATTGGTACCCATCTTATCCATTTCCCACAAGGACTTAAAAACCTAGATGTTCCATTGTAAATTTGATTAGGCAGTTCACCAGAGAATTGGTTCGATCTCACCATAGCTCTTTGTACTTTAGTTGGCCCACCCACATGTCATCCTGTTACTGTCTATGGCTAAGGACATTCCCTCTCAGCTATGACCTTATTGAATTGAAGCAAATCTTGCACTTTCCTTTGGCTCCTTCTAGGAATACCCTGATTCCTCCACCCTCAATCTTTCCACCATGACACTGTTTTTAAAATGTGTATTGTGATTGGGAAATGTTTTTTTTTTCTGATGTTTGTTGTCAATTTTATTTTAATTTGATTTTATTGTGTGTGTTTTACTCTGTATTTTCGGGCTTGTCCCCTTGTAAGCCGTCCCAAGTCCCTTCAAGGAGATGGTGGAGTGGCATTAAAATAAAGTTATTATTATTATTATTATTATTATTATTATTATTATTATTATTATTTTACTGACACAAAAACACAGTATGCCACAGCAAACGAGATATAAATGCTGGATTTCGTATCACAAAATTACAAGTCGAACACTTCCTAAGCATCTAGGATTGTGTGATGTATTTTCAAATGATGCGCGTAGATCCAAGTAAGGTGGCCTTTTGCAGTTGACTATTATTATTATTATTATTATTATTATTATTATTATTATATTGTGATTGTGTTCACATTATCATAACATTATTCTCTTAAAATATGTTAGTTTAATTAGATCACTGCCTACTCATATAAAATCTATGTGATAAAAGTTTGTTGTTCTATCAGTTTTACATCCACATTTTATATATTATAAAAGACATTGACAAATAGCTACAATCAATAACAATAAGAACATTATTGCCTTTTGTAGATACATATTTGCCATATTGCTTAATACCAGACTTTTCTAGTTGTCCTTTAACGTCAGTGTAGTTTGGAAATTGACTGTGTATGGGTTTCATGCTCTAAGTTCTCCTTGGGGAAAAACAACAACAACAACAACAACAACAGGAGTATAAGCAGCTGGTACAACACACTGTTCAACAAAAGACTGGTTCCTTGCCACTGCAAACAATATTCCTTTGACAGCCCAATATGGGAAGGAATGGCAGAACAGAAGTTGAGATTATTGGAGACAAATGTATTTCATTTTCATACAAATGAAGTGAAAAACAGAATAACTATTTGGTTGCTGGCTCAGCAGATTTTGTATAAGGTACACACTTATTCAGATGCAATATATCCTAAAGGATACCTGATTTTGCCTGCCTTTGGAAAACTAAGAAGGGTCAAGCTGAGTGAATACTTCTTAGAAAAGAGACCACTTTCTGAAAGTGTGAAAACTATTTACTTAGCCTTCTAATAATAACCATAGCTACTGCTGATAAAGACTGTATACATTTTTGGGATATATGTGCTAGCTGCACCAGTACGTTGAGAAGCCAGACTTGGCCACGGTGGTCCATACTCTCGTCTACTAAATTTAGACTACTAAAATGTGTTCTATGTGGAGTTGTCTTTGAAGACTGTTCTGAAGTTTCAAGAAGTGCAAAGGGTGGCAACCAGGTTGCTTACTGGAGCGACGTACAGGGTGCACACAATCCCCCTGTTGTGTCAGCTCCACTGGCCGCCAGTCTGTAACTGAGCAGAATTCAAAGTGCTGGCTTTAGCCTATAAATCCCTAAATGGTTCCAGTCTATCTTTCCTCTCTGAATGCATCTCTCCCCGAGCCAGCTAGACCACTAAGATCTACTGAAGAGGCCCTGCTCTCGATCCCGCCACTTTCACAGGTGCAATTGGTGGGGACAAGGGACAGGGCCTTCTCAGTGGTGGCCCCTCAGCTATGGAACTCACTTCCCAGGGAAATCAGATTGGCCCCCTCCCTCCTAGCTTTTAGGAAACAGCTTAAGACCTGGTTATTTAAGAAGGCATTAAGTGACTGTAAATATGGAAGTAGTTAAAGACATTAGGCCTGAGTAACAACGGAAAAATTTGTTTCTAAAATCGATTTGTATTTGGGGTTTTTTTTTGTTTCGATATTTAAAATAATTACAAAATTTTCCTTTTAAAAAGTTCGATATTTACGAAATTTCGTAAATGGTAAAAAATTAACGAATCGATTTCCGAAACAATAACGAATCGAATCGTTAATGGCGGACGCGACCGCGAAATACGCTAAAAAACCTCCAAAACCTTCTGAAGCTTCCCTCTCCCTCTGTTGTTGACTGTTGGTGTGATATTATAATTTTTTTCACTAATTAAACTATAAAACTGGCCCAGACATGCGGAAATAATAACGAAACGACCTCAAAACAATAACGAAACGAATACAATATCGAAATACGAAGCATTTACAAAACGTTTTTGAAAATTCGTTTTTTTTAATAATTGCTCCAGAATGGTTCGTTATCGTTTTGTAATTGAAAAAAATTAACGAATTATTAACGAATTACGAATTAACGAAACGAAACCGCCCAGCCCTAAAAGACATTCTTGGGATTGTGAAAGGCCTACATGTTTTATGTATTGTGTGTGACTGTTGTTTTATAGTTTTATAATCTTAATGGTTTTAATCAATTGTCATTGTTGTTGTTTGGATATGTGTTGTTTTATACATGTAACGTATTGAATTTTACCATTGATTATGTTGGGAACTGCTTTGAGTTCCCCTAGGGATGAGAAAAGCGGTATATAAGTGCAATAAATAAATAAATAAATAAATTCAAAGGCATCACTAAGGGAGTGTATGGAGGCTGCCAGCCACAGGGTGTGACACCATCAGAGGAAGTGACATCAAAATGACTGTCTGTAACATTTTTGTGCAGTCAGTCAAAGTTGACAAAGTGAATAACAGTCTGATACAGTATAAGGTAGCTCCCTATGTACAGAAGCACAAAACTCAAACATTTTTATTTATTTTGCCAACTACAAAAAGTCATTTACCGACTGTGAGCTGTCCTTGCTGTTATCCCTGGATTTATTCTTTGCGAGCCTCTTCTTCTTCTTGTGCAGGGGCCTTGACTCCAGGATCATCTCTTCTAACTCAAAGGTGGGATCGCAGTGCAGGCGGCCTTTCTATTGTAATCAGAAAAGGATATTGCTTCAAAGCCAAGTGAATGATAAATCAGATAAATTCAAGGCACACAGTAAACCCGTATAGGTTCAGCACAAGAAAATCCTGAGCTTTATATCTTCATGGCAAATAACAGAGATAAAGGAGAAAAGCAAATGCAGGCATTGCTTTGACTTACATTAGGAACAAAACCTGGCTCCACTTTCTTTTCACATATTTCATCCCAATCCACATTCGATAAATAGGACGACGTCTGGATATTAGCTAGACTTGAAAACCGATGTTCAGGATTGACAGTCAAAAGCTGAAAATAGGAAACATTGAGGAGTGAGACAACATGGACCTTAACAAACTACTTTGACATGCTTCTACAAGAGATGTGCAAACAGATGCAGACTGGGTTTCTTTCTCATCCATTTTAACTGTAAAATATCTATTTGTTCAAGTTTTCCAGTAATTGAAATAGCAATAGAATAGAATTTCATTAATTCATGTTTTATTAGTTGTTCATTTCTTCCTTTCTTTGAATGGAGGACCAGCCAGACATCTGTTGCCTGTAACTTTCTATACAAATGTTATGAAACTTGGAGATATTCTATTAATAGGCCTTCGGCCTGGATAGCACTAAGATTTCCTACGATGCTCTCCCTAAATGCCATAGACCTACTGAAATCTGGAGGAGGCTCCTACAGCTTTAATGTGTAGAAAAGGGATTTTCAGTAGGTGTTGCTTAAGGTAAAGTAAAGGTTTTCCCCTGACATTAAGTCCAGTCGTGTCTGACTCTGGGGGTTGGTGCTCATCTCCATTTCTAAGCCAAAGTGCTAGTGTTGTCCATTGACAACTCCAAAGCCATGTAGCCGGCATGACTGCATCTTCCCGATGGAGGGGTACCTATTGATCTACTCACATTTGCATATAAGGTGTTACTTATTGTACTGTATTTGAAGAACCAATTGAAAATCCCTGCTGATATTTTCTGCAAAAATTAAAACTATAAGAACAGTATTTAGTTTTCTGTCTGGCAACCTTAATTTGGGGAGCTAAAAATATTGACCTGCTATGGGGAGGTAAGGGAGTGAATATTTGGGGTTGCACATAGTCATGCACAGCTCAGTTTTGTGATAGGAAAACTGAGGGGTATTTGAATGCGTTTGCTTTCAAACCACATTGCAACTTCCATATTTGTTGAGGATACATTCCCAGACTTCATGTGAATGCATGAAACCATGGATAATAGTGAATCTTAGTATAGTGAACAACAGAGATACTGAGAAGAGGGTACCACATGTACAGGAGGCCTTAAGTGAATAAGTTGAGCTGTGGATAAACAAAACCACCACTATTGGTTCTATGAATACTGGGGTTATACTGTAGTGCTGTGCTCCCACACGGTACAGGCGTGTGACAGTCATACCACCTGTCAACTCAATATCTGAATAACTCTCAGAACAAAGAATACCACATGCAGTGCCAGTTGCACTTTAAAAGTTGCCAGGCTGCTTTCCTTTCAAATACAGTAGCTGCTTTTGGATCTCCTTTATTTTCTCTCTTCTTACATTTGGGAAGAATAAGAGAGTAAAGCTTCCCAGGGTGGCTTTGACTCAATGCCTCTTCTCTCCCACAGAGATCTGTCTGCATTTTACCAGTGGGATTGTGCACAAAGGTAACACCATTTTCCTCACACAAGCTCATTTCAATGAGATTTATGACAGATAAAAACAAACAAACACATTTTTCTCTTTAGATAGGGAATGGAGTTAGATATGGATTTTTCCACAACCAATCATTTAGATTTTCCTATAATTTTGTTGTTGTGTGTCTTCAGGTCATTTCTGACTGATGGTGATCCTAAGGTAAACCTTTAACAGGACAAGATCTGTTCACAGGGAGTTTTCCTTTGTCTTCCTCTGAGACTGTTTCCCCATCTACACATGCTGTAAAACTAAAATGATGTGGTTTATAAGGGAGGGGTGGCTAGAAAATGCACACCCCTAATGGTGGCACAGGTCAACTGAACTTGCTGACCAAAAGGTTGGTGGTTCAAATCTGGAGAGCAGGATGAGCTACCTCTGTTAAGCCCAGCTTCTGCCAACCTAGCAGTTCAAAAACATGCAAATGTGAGTAGATCAATAGGTATTGCTTCAGTGGGAAGGTAATGGAGCTCCATGCAGTCATACTGGCCACGTGACCTTGGAGGCATCTACAGACAATGCCGGCTCTTCAGCTTAGAAGTGAAGATGAGCACCACACCCCAAAGTCGGACTCGACTAGGCTCAATGTCAAGGGGAGACCTTTATCTTTTAATGGGTGCTGAAATGCATATCCACATGGAAAACATGAGTTTTAAAAAGTCTGAGATTGGCAATAAATTGCTCTGCAGCTGATCTGTGTATAGACACTGCAGAGCAGAAATTCAGGAGGAACATGTGCAGCATTCATTTCTCCAAACTGGGAAAGAAAAAAAGTCATACTAATGAATGGATTCAGTATGAGAGGAGCTTCGTGGATGCTGCAGAACTTTTTTCATGGTTCCCAGGATGTGTGTGGAGACCCTCCGAAGTAGAATGGGATTTTTTTAATCCACATTCTGATCCGGATTATGTGGTATCATAGAAGCAGTCTAAGAGGATGTGATTTGTCTGAGGTCACCCAGTGGGTTCCCATAGCCACATGGGATGTGAACATAGGTCTCCAGTGTTGTAGTCCAATGCTTAAGCCAAGACATCATGCTGTCACCTGCAACTGATGAGATGGTTTTCTGGTAATACAAAATTGGTACCTCAAATCATTCTTAATGAAAAACAAAAGGTCCAGACAGAATTGGACCTTCAAAGATCACTCAAGCTTGGTTTGCGACCTCATCAGACACAGCTTTTTTCAATGGCATATGCCAGTTCAGTGATAGTTTAGCCACGGAGCCTACCGGCTCCCATCCCATGATGTGATACTACTTCTGGTGGGGCTCTGTGGCTAAACTATCAAGTATGGTGTATACCACCACAGCAACAAAACAGGAGGATTCCCATGTTGCACCACAACAATGGGGGGAAACCAGGTAGCCAACACCTCTCCCTATGGAATAGGGTTATTGGTGACTCAGGCAATGCATGGGGTGACAGGTTCTCCACACCTCCTGATGGACACCACCAGATTTGCTTCAATCAGTGGCGATTCTAGTGGCATGTATGATAAGGTCACTAGGTAGACAAAGCCCAATAGTGAGATCAAGATCATTAGAAAATAAGTTATTTTGTAACTGGCCAAATTGTTTAGCTATCTAGCAGAGTACTGTCCATGCTGCAGGTGGAGAACATCATTTCTGTCATTCACAGCTGCAATATTTCTGAAGTGTTCTGTTGAGGAAGTCAACAGTTGGCGATATCCCTTTTGTCCCTATGACATATCCCTTCTCTTCTTCCCAACTAGTTGATTGTCAAGGAAAGTAGGATGAGGGCCATATGAGTGCAGTCCGAGGGCCACACAAGGAGCAAGGGTTGTCCATCTTTGGTGTATGATGTATGGTGACTATCAGCACTGCATAAAGGGCAAGTAGGCATCCATAACCTGCTACTGGAACCTTTCAGTTGTGGATATTGAGGACAGTGCCTCAGATCTTCAGTATTAACTGTGAAACACTGAATTAAGGCCCTTCCCAAATATTGTAAATTCTGACAAACACCTGAGTCTAACTTTCTGGTCAGTGTATGATTAAGTTTGACAGCAGCACAGCATCAAATAGTATCACACATAATCTGACTGGATCTAGATTAATTTTTCCCTGCAATCAAAACACAACTGGATTGCTTTGTCATTGTTGCCAGTATCTCAACCAATATTTACTGTTCCACTCACTTTACAGAAAAAAGTTATCTTAGTGTTGCTGCTCATTTCAGATATGAGAACAATATATATTGGCCAGAAGCATTCAAAAAGTCTCTGAAAAATGCCTGCATGTTTTCTACATACAGATCCACTAAGGTTATATTATATTCATCTCCATTTACAATGTTTTAGAGTCATTTTATTATACTAATCCAGCAGAGGGCATCTGTGCTCTGGCTGAGTAACTTTCCATGGCATTGTTTCATAATAGAATTCTACTTTAAAACCAAACTTTAATTATGTATATTGTCCTCCTGACACTTTTGTATATTGGAGCCCTTTGGCTACTTCCACTGTTACTAAGGCTGCCCTATATCCCAGGAACTGATCCCAGATTATCTGGTTTAAACTGGATTATATGAGTCTCCACTAGCAGATAATCTGGGACCAGATCCTGGGATATAGGAAGAATGTGGAAGAGGCCATAGGTGCATATTGGTTTACAGAATGCTAACAGGTCATATCCAACATTTGCAAAACATAAAACTACTAATTTCTTGTCTCTTGGCAAAATATTACATAACAATACACATCACATTAGATGACTGTTACTAAAAAAGAAATGTGTCATAATATAATATATTTGATCACTCACAGATTCGATTTAAAACATTTCTTTTGCAATATCTAGATCCTGCAGTGCAACTCCATGGTTAACCTCTGCTTAAAACTGATCACAGAAACATGCTGGAGGACCTAAAGAGAACACCTTTCTAGTTTTTCCAGTACAATCCAGTAGCAGTGCCCCCCCCCCCCCTTTTACCAGGTTTCTATATCCCAGCCCCAGTGAATCTGGAGTGCTGACTGTATATATTTACAATAACATATAAATAATTCACACACACACACGTGTGTGTGTGTGTATGAGTTCTGCTTTTCATTCAAGTAGGTTTTTAGCAACTGATTGAAATGTGGAGCTTTTAATAGAAGTAGCTGTCTAGATACATAGATTCATGGAAATTGCAATATAGATACCGATCTAGCTTTTAGGTTTTTATTCTTTAACTGTATGTAAACAATAAACTGTAGCAGAATTTATAAGGGGCTCAGATGTATCCTTGTTTGAATCATGCTATAAATAACCCTGTATTCTTGTATTTAGTAGGAAAGGCAGGATATACATTGTTAATTAAATAAATACAATATACCTCTCAAAGTTAAACCGACCCATTCAGTTCAAGTACTAAAAAGAACCTACATTCTTCCTCCCATGTGCATTGCACATTTTATTTTAATCCAGTAAGATTAAAACATAGTGAGCCCTTGGTATCTCATGGTCCAGGATGCACCATGGCTACCAAAATACATGTATAAATACCATTTTATATACAATAGTGCAGTAAAATAATGTCCCTTATATAAAGTGGCAAAAGCAAGATTTGCTTTCTGGACTTTAAAAAAAAATTCAAGTCATGGTTAGTTGATTCTGTGGATGCAGAATTTGTGGATACAGAAGCAGACAGATATTGAGTTTGTAGTTCCAAACACTGCACCAACGCCAGGAGAGAATGCTTCTAGAACATGGCTATATAGCCCAAAAAACCTACAACAACCCAGTGATTCCAGCCATGAAAGCCTTCAACAACACACTGCACCAATCACTAAGCAATCTCTGACACATGGATGTAAAAACATTGTGTGGTCGCATCCCTGGATCAAAGCCCTTCTTGATCGCCTTGTACTGATGGATAATTTGAGGGAGAGGCTTTTACCTTTCTCAGTAATGCCACCATGTCTTTTGACCATCCTGTCATGTACTGGACACTCACGGTGCTGAACAACTGGACTAAAGATTCCACTGGGCTGTTGGAGTGGATGTCATAAGGCCTCTGAAGGGTATGGGAAGGGGGCAGAAAGAAGAAACAAAAAATCAGGAAAGCTATGCTCACTCTGAAAGCTACTATATATCTTAAAGATAAAGAACCTGGCAGATACCCATCCACGAAGGAGCTCATATGCCATCACTCCAAGTGACCACCAGTCAACTTCAAAGGAGTAACCGGTTCCACCATTCAGAAAGGAATGAAAGATCTCTGGAGCTGGAAAGAAAAAGAAATGAAAGGTATTATCAAATAAAAGCCAGCATGGCATAGTGGTTTGAGTGTTGGACTATGATTCTGGAGACCAAGGTTTGAAGCCCCACTCGACCATAAAAACCCACTGGGTGGCCCTGAGCAAGTAATACATGTTACAGTAAGTTGTAGCAGGACCGTGTGTGTGTGTGTTGAAGAAAAACCTTATGGTGGTAATTATTATGTGCAGCTGGTAATGTAGGTTAACCAGCAATCTTGGACCACACCCAATAGGGTATAACTGTATGGGTTTTTAAAATGTAATTCTGGAGAGCTTTTTCTAGAGTCTGTAAAAAGGAGGAAGAGTTGCTCTGGTTAAAAAAGAATAACCTCTGAAACCTTTAAAAACTGCTCCCTGTTAGGACTGGCCATGCTGGGACTACACATAGGTTTATGCCACTGTAAGGAGTCCCCGTCTCTTCTCCAGCTTCCCTTCTTGCTGAACTGGAAGATGCCTTCGCGATATATTACATTGAACCTGGCTTTTGTAAGTCTTTTTCAACATTGGTGGTGCAATGGGTTAAACCCTTGTGCCGGCAGGACTGAAGACCAACGGGTCACAGGTTCGGGGAGAGTGCAAATAAGCTCCCTTTATCAGCTCCAGCTGCTCGTGCAGGGACTTGAGAGAAGCCTCCCACAAGGATGGTAACACATCAAAACATCTGGGTATCCCGGATATCCTTGCAGACGGACAATTCTCTCAAACCAGAAGCTACTTGCAGTTTCTCAAGTCGCTCCTGACACAACACCAAAAAAAAAATAAATCCCACTGTAAGGCAGATTTTAGTTTTCCTATTAAAGGCATTTTCCATATGAAGGTCAAGAGGGGTAGGGTTGGGAACAAAAACAGAGTATTCTCCCCACTAAATAAGAATTCTAAACCCCCATAATTTATTTTCTTCTGTCCTCCAATTTCTAGCACTGTAGAAAGTGAGATACTGAAAATTGTTCTCATTTAGAACTCTTATATTTGCTGGGTTTGCATTCCTTTGGTAACTGTCTCCTTTCTTTGGACGGATGCCTAAACTGTATTTCTGAAAACAGCTGAAGTTTTAAGTTATGGCAATGTTAGAAATGTGCCCTGTGCAGGAAAATTGTCACTGTGGGGGCAAAATTCTTATCTGAGAGTTACAACCCTGCATAAGGTATGCATTTTTGTAAAGGTCTAAATCTTTCTTTCAGGAGAGAGTGGGACTGGAGCAAACCAGTCCTGTGTGCCAAGATCCTGTCCACCTCCATCTAACCATCCTGCTGTGCTATCCTTCCTCAAGTGAGAAAGTGTTTGCCAACAGCTGGAAAGACTTTTGGTGCACTTTGGTCCTGGAGCAGAATCAGCTCACCAGCCCTAGAGAATCTATTCTAGACAAGGAAAAACCACATATGGGCATCTAGTTCCCCCTCTCAAAGATCTCAACTTCCAGTTGTGGATTTTAGCCAAAATGAAAGGCAAACTGCAGCTTATTGAGGCATCCAAGCAGTAGTATCCCTTCCAATATTAACATTAAAAATACCTGTTCTTCAAAACCACTAACTGACTTCAAGCTTCTTTCAGTTTTGTTTTATGATATTTTTTTTGGCAGCATCCATGGTCCCTTGGACAGAAAAGTGGACCAGAAATTTGAGAACACAGAAATTGATGCACCACTCTAACAACCACCATGTCAGACTACACAGAGAAGCCATTTAAATCCACAAGCATGTGGACAATTTCAACAGAAAGGAGGAAATCATGAAAATGAACAAAAATCTGGCTATCAGTATTTTTTTTAAAAAAATCTAAAATCAGGCCAATTCAGGGGAATTCCAGACAAGAATCAATAAGGGCCAGCTAACACCTCCTAACAAAGGATCTCCCCAGGCAGGAATCACCCAGGCTTTGAAGCTACAAGGTCATTAAATGCTAATCAAGGTGGCCAATTGCAACATTCACACTTGTCTCAAGCAGACAAGAGTTATTTCTCCCACCCTGGACATTCCACAGATATATAAACCCCACTTGCCTAGTTTCCAACAGACTTCTCAGCCTCTGAAGATGCCTGCCATAGATGTGGGTGAAATGTCAGGAGAGGATGCTTTGGGAACACAGTAATACAGCCTGGAAAACTCACAGCAACCCAATGATTCTGGCCATGAAAGCCTTAGACAACACATATTCCAGACATTGACCCAAACACACCTTTTATGAATTCATCAATTTCATAGCCTGTAAATTTACAGTATCCATGGAAGATACGTTCCTTAACTTACAGCTGAAATAGGAAACCGTGGATAATAGCAATCCTTATTGCAATGAATGGCTTCCACTATAGGATCTCATTGGGGAAATCTAGAACATTCCTTGTGAGGACTTATTTTGTCAGATGCAGATAGGTGAAACTGTGAGTTCTAGTCCTGTGGGTATAGGGTTGTACTGTATTAGCAAAACTATATCCATATCTTCCTATTATTGGGAAGAAACCATAAGTGGCAGATCCTCTTGTTCTTTTCATATTCAAATTATACATGCTAAAAATGCACTGCTCCAAATGCATATTTTTGATACGCCCTAGTCAATAGAGATAATGCATCCCAGAATATATCCCTTGAGAGGAAATGCATTAAAAAGTCTGTGTATTAGGAAATGTGCATACCAAAACAAATATCGATGGCAAATGAAAAACAAAAACACTCTCAACCCAATGTAAAACATGAACAGAAAGAAAATGCAAGTGTTATTAAAAAGACATCACGAAATTAAGACTAAGAGCTTTTTACATCCCTGGTGTATTAATAAAGCTTCATTATATTTTATATTATACAGGCACCTCTTTTAGAGCGGATTACTATGTATTAATATTTGAATTTATTTGAATACTGAATAGTCTTCCAAATTAGAAAGAGGTAAAATAAAGTATAGGGAGCTCAAATGCAATGTAGTGATTTGAGACCAGGGTTTAAAATCCATTTGTTCATGGAACACAATGAGTGAACTTGGACAAGTCACACACCCTTTCAGCATTAGAGAAAGGAACTACCAACTCCAGTTGAACAACTCTTGCTAAAGAAACCCACCAAACTAAAATAAAATGGAGGAAGGAGATCCCATTTAACTTGTACAGCAGGAATGCATCTTATTTATAATAACAAGATCCTGGAAAGTTCTTGAAGCAGCATTTCTCCTCCTTTTCCATCTCCGGAAGTTGAGAGTGTCAGAGTGATTTCAAAGAACTCAAAAGCTTCAAGATTCTACATTCTGCTTTAAATCTTATGTCTTGGATATATCATTATGTCTACAACTTGGGATGTAGCTATATGCCACTATAAACCGTTTTTGCCAAAATTTATTTTGTATCCATAAGCAGCTTGAGGGTGATCCTGGAGTTATTGCTGATCCTGGAACCCCAGGTCTCGGCGGTGGCCAGGGGAGCCTTTGCACAACTAAAACTTCTGCGCCAGCTATGCCCGTACCTTGGGAAGTCTGATCTGGGCACAGTGGTCCATGCTCTTGTTACATCTCGAATAGATTATTGCAACACAATCTACATGGGTTTGCCCTTGAAGACGGTTCAGAAACTCCAACTAGTCCAACGGTTGGCAGCCAGATTACTCACCAGAGTGACATACAATGTCTGACCTGCTATGTCAGCTCCACTGGCTACCGGTCCATTTCCAAGCACAATTCATAGTTCTGGTCTTGACCTATAAAGCCCTATATGGTTCTGGCCCAGTTTAATTGTCTGAACATATCTCCCTTTATGATCCACCCCAGAGTTTACAATCATCGGGGCGGGGGGGGGGGGCTGATCTCGATCCTGCCACCCTCACAAGCACAATTGGCAGGGACAAGAGACAAGGCCTTCTCAGTGGTGGTCCATGTCTACGAAATGCACTAGTGAAATCAGGGTGACTTCATCTACCCTCTCCTTTACAAAAAAACAAAAACCCTTAAATCTTGGCTTTGGGACCAAGCATCTGGGCAGCTTACCGAGAAGCAACTGCAGTGACTTATGAGAACTGTCAATGAATAGACCTTGGACTGGAACTCTAGATTATGATTTGGATTTGTGGACTTAGGCTCGGTTCTGTTTTAATACTTAATGGTCAATATTTTAATGTGTTTTTATAATCTTGTTGGTTTACTTGATGTTAATTGTTTGTACTGTGATTGTTTGTTTTTTTTGGCATCTAATGATTGCCAGTTGTAAGCTACTCTGAGTCCCCCTTCGGGGGTTGAGAAGGACAGGATATAAATGTTCGAAAATATGCCCTCTAGCAAGAATGGGAGTATATTCACCACATTTGTATCTTTCCCCTTGCCATTTCAAGCACTGGGATTCCCTTGTGTCCCTGAGGCAGCTGAGGGAGACCCTGGATCAGGCCCACCTTAGTGGTCCATGTAAAAGGCCCCTAAAAAACAGAACAATGGGCTTATACTACAGGAGAAGAGATTCCACTTAAAAGTTAGTTAGAACTTCCTTATGGTAACAACTCATTCCGAGTGTAGTGAAGTCGTCTTCTCTAAAGTTTAAATAAAAACTGGATGGCCATCTGTCAGAGCTGCTCTGGTTATCTATTTCTGCATTGCAACTTCCAACTCTATGATTTGCTGCATAAGAAATATGATCAAATGGCCTATCTGCACAGAAATGTCTTTACTAAAAAAGGGAAATGTTTACTTACCCATATACGGCTTAGTTCCAGCTAAAGCGGTTGCTCTTTCACCATCTCTTACGATTGTTGCAATATTAAAATCTGTCAGGTGTGCATGACCTTAAAGAGAAAAAGGGGACAATGTAAACTCATAAAACATTCATTATTCTTAAAGAAACTACTTGATTAAACACTGATGTGAAGACATTTTAAGACAGCTGTCCCCATCGCCATGTTGGCTGAGAGGACTGGGTTGAGGAAGATTGCATTAAGAACGGCTATGAATGTACAATGTGTCCTCAGAGATAATGTGAAGCAGGTGGCATTATCAAGTTTTCACTGGATTAACAACAATATGAAGAATGAAACTCTTTGGTGCTTTGTAAGATTAAACATTGCTGACTGCACAGTTATAAGAAAAAGTACAGTTATTCCCACCTGTACTTAGTGTGCCAGCTGCATGCATTTTTCTAGCCAGCAAGCAATGTACAAAGCCACAGCTTCCATTAAATATATCAAAGAAATTTCCACTATTTGGTTATAGCCACTGGATTTGGTGTTAGTAATAAAATTCACCAAGCTGAACATCCCAACTTTTGTTTTTAAAACCTTAGGAGAGGGCGAATGGGTTGGATAGCTATCAAAACTATTTAGTGAAAGTACAGGAGAATAAGATGAACAAATATATGAATATGTGATATGAAATTAAATGAAATCGCATGAAAGGAGTATGACTGGGGGCGTATTGAGGCTAGAAATGCCATCCTAAGACATAAGGCCTGAAAAACTACAAAAAGAATTCATGAACTGTAATTAAAAGTTGCTGAACTGCTGGCATCAATGATCAGAGACAATGAAGCACACAATGGCTCCTTACTTAAGAAGGAAAACCAACATCAGTTAAGAAGGAATGCAACATGGAACTGATGGAGTCAGCAAGTTTAGCCGGAAAACTCCTGTCATTCATTTACAACTTTTTGGAACAATATCAGCAAGTAATATTGCTATATAAGAAACACTTTACTATTCCAAAATTGTGGCAGACCAGAGGAGTCTGGTCCACCTGCAATCTTCTCCAAGGGACGGAGACAGTGTAGTTGCAGAATGGCAGATTTGATGGGAACGCAATCTGCCCTACATGCAGGTCTCTTTTCCAGGAGAAGGAAGAAGAGATGGTAATGTATGCATGATGGAGTAAATGTTTATATGTATGTGACTGCTGAGTGAAATGTAATTACCCTTTGTTTGTGTGCCTAATGTAGTTATACAGAGTCTGTATGTGTCTACCTTCTTTCTCTGTAAAGTGCCTAATACGCTGTTTCAATGTGAACAAAATAAACAAATGTTTTAAATGCTTTTTAAAGTATTTATAACAAGAAGAGACTGCAGAGCTTGGCTAGTGATTTGGAGTGCAGATACTTAATGAACTGCTCACACCAAGTATTCATAGTATATTCTGGTCTAAAACCTACTCTTGGTTCCAATTAGAAGAGACACATGGAATCTTCAGAATTTATTTATGTTTTGACTTGCAGTTATCTATTTTCTAGTTATGTATGACTTGCAGTAATCTTATTGCTGAGTTTTCTTGACAAGATTTGTTCAGAGGGGATTTTCCTTAATCATTCTCTGACGTTTCCTCTGAGAGAATATGATTTGTCCAATAGGGATATCATGGGATACCGAGTGAGGAGTCTAACCCTGGTCTCCAGCATGCTAGTCCAACACTCAAAACACTGCACCAAACTAACTCATGTACTAACATACGGTACAATACTATTTATTTATTTATTTATTTATTTACAGTATTTCTAGCCCACCTTTCTCAGCCCTAAAGTGACTCAAAGCAGCTTACAGATTGGCAGCGATTTGATGCCACACATTCATAAAAATACAATTAAAACATTCAGCATAACATTATAAAAATCATATAAAAACCATTAAAACATATAATCACCAGTGTTGTCCTGTTAAACTCATTTTCCAGTAGCATTGTCTAACCATTCCATGTTCATTCTTCATAATTTCATGTTTAACTATTACGCTGCATTTTCAAAAGCTTGTTCGAAGAGCCAAGTTTTTACTTTTTTTCAGAAAGTCAGGAGGGAAGAGGCCGAGCTGATATCCCTAGGGAGGGAGTGCCACCACCAAGGGGCCACCACTGAGATGGCCTTGTCTCTCGTCCCTGCCAGACGCGCCTGCGAGGAAGGTGGGATCAAGAGCAGGGCCTCCCCTGCAAAACTGGATTCTGAAACTTGAGACAGCAAATGGTCTGTAGGATATAAATTCTTAGATGGTTCATAAGGAGAGATATGTACAGACAGGTAAGCTGGGCAAGAACCGTTTAGGGCTTTATAGGCTAAAGCCAGCACTTTGAATTGTGCCCAGTAGCAAACTGGCAGCCAGTGGAGTTGGTGAAACAGAGGAGTTGTGTGCTCCCTGAATGCTGCTCCCATTAGTAACCTGGCTGCCTCCCACTGGACCATTTGATGCTTCAGAACAGTCTTCAAAGGCAATCCCATGTAGAGCACATTGTAGTAGTCTATATGGGATGTAACCAGAGCGTGAACTACTGTGGCCAAGTCAGACTTCTCAAGGTATGGGTACAGCAGGCACACTATCAATCCCACTAGTTTAAAAAGGTTTAAATAAATAATAACCCTTGTGATATACTATGACTCAATGTTGGCTTCAATAGAATGGCACATTGAAACTGTTATAAGGTGGCACTTGTAAAAACTACTCTTTGGTGGCAATGTTTACTCCTTAACAGAAGTCCCTTTCTTTTCTCTCTTTTCCTTTGCATGACCAATAAAAAGGCAGTCTATTCCCAGATATGAGTAGAGCATCGCCTCCTCCAAAGGAAAGGAAAGAACCATGTTACAAATAAAACCAGATCTGACTTAAATGTCTTCCTGATCAATATCCCAAGGTGCAAGCTATGACACCTTAAATACAAACTTAGCTTACACAAAAATGCTTAGGATAAAAGCCTTTCAAGCTATCTGTGGTCAGAACAGGGCCCTTTCTTACCACCTTTCTTTCTTGGCTTGTGAAAAGCTATTTGATAAACTGTTTAAAGGATTCATGTGGGAACATGCTATTGCCGGAGTCGAACAAGAGCTGAAAGATGCCAGGGGGTTCATGGACAAATCATCCAGCAGCTGATTGTAAACCATTAGAATCACACTTTCTGAGAGCCCATTCAAGTATCCGCAATTCAAAAGCTCACTCTGGAATGATGAAGTACACCATTCTTTCTGAAGTTTCCCCAAAGGAACATTTCATTACAAAGAAAATACAGTCTGGGAAAGTTACTTACAAACGATAACAGTTGCAAAGCTGCCACCCCAGCAAACTTGTTTCTGGTAACATTGCCAAGAGACTTTTTAGCAAGCGAACACTTCTCATAATGTCACTAGTTCCCTTTTTATTACTACGTTACCATCACCTTCATCATCATCACCTTAAAATCCTCCACTGCAAGCAGAGCATGTGAGATTGCAGGTCAATTTGCATTTCATGTACAGAGTCTGAGTGATGTACACAGTCTGATTAATTCATCACTAGATCTCCATCCTATCCACAGGGCAGCAGGACAATTTAGATGGTATAGGGTAGGCTGTGTGGCATATGCAGATAATTTCCAAGAATGAGGATTCACTTAGGAAGAACAGGTAGGAGACTGACACTTCTGTCTTCTAGCACAGTGGTTCAAAAACCCTGGCACTCCAGTTGTTTGGGATTTAAGTTCCCATAAATTCTGAGCACTGACCACACTGGCTAAGGCTTCTGAGAATTGTCCCAATCTTACAAAGCTTGAAAATCACTGCTCTCGCAGTTAGCTCTTGTTTAGCTCTACCCTGCTTTTCCTAATGATAAAGCCAGCCTTGTGTGTACAACAGAGTATTTGGATACTATTCAAAACAGTCAAGGGTAAGTGGCCCTGAACCATAGCCTACTGTCAATGCTTTTGCACAGAGACTCTCTGTTATTTGGGGCAGATACCTACTCCCCTGCTTGACCCAGATGTCATCCTGAAACGTACAGAGCTTATGAACAATGCTGAATCCCATTCCCAAACTAGGTTGAATACTTTGAGCATTTTAGACTAAAAGTTGGGATGGATTCACCAACCCACTGGAATCGAAGCCCACGGCCATCACTGTTTTGCACTCATGACTGGGAATGGCACCATCATGTGTATTTTTGATTTTTTTTGTTGCAGTCTGCAAAGTGATAAGTAAGAAGATCCTGATGTATGTGTCACTACTGTTATTCTTTCAGCCATTAGTTTAGACCAGTGTTTCTCAACCTGGGGGGTTGGGACCCCTTGGGGGGGGTCATGAGGGGGTTTCAGAGGGGTTGCTAAAGACCATCAGAAAACATATTTCTGATGGTCTTGGGAACCCCTTTGGCAGAGAAGGCTGAAGATCTCCTTGTTTTGCTTTCTCTTCCTTTTTGGAAACAGACAGCAAATCCTCTCTCCAAAAGCCCCACTCCTGCTGTGATTGTGGGTGAACTATAAACCCAGCAACTGTAACTCCCAAATGTCAAGGTCTGTTTTCCCAAAACCCCACCAGTATTTGGGCAGATTGAGTATTTGTGCCAAGTTTGGTCTAGATCCATCATTGTTTGAGTCCACACTGCTATCTGGATGTAGGTGAACTACAACTCCAAAACTCAAGGTCAATGCCCACCAAACCCTTCCATTATTTTCTCCTGGTCATGGGAGTTCTGTGTGACAAGTTTAGTTCAATTCCATCATTGTTGGAGTTCAGAATGCTCTTTGATTGTAGGTGAACTATAAATCCCAGCAACTACAACTCCCAAATGACAATATCAATCCCCCTCCAATCCCATCAGTATTCAAATTTGGGTATATGGGGTATTTGTGCCAAATTTGGACCAGTGAATGAAAATACATCCTCCATATCAGATACTGACATTACAATTCATAACAGTAGCGAAATCACAGTTATGAAATAGTAACAAAAATAATGTTATGGTCGGAGGTCACCACAACATGAGGAACTGTATTAACCGGTTGCAGCATTAGGAAGGTCGAGAAACACTGGCTTAGACCAATGCTGATCTAAATATACATCTCTTCTGTAAATAATACTTTGAAAGCTATAGTGCCACACAGATGGCTATGTCAAATTTTGTACTGTTAAGAGTAATATCTCACTAAGACTACAATTAGGTGTACGGTATAAATGATGGCCAATCCATCTGCTCCCTCATGAAAGACTGGAAAGAAATCCAACATATGCTGCCTGCAATTGATCAAGAACTACTTTCGGAATTTGCCTGGGGGACAACAGCTTTCAAGCCAAGATAAAAACATCCAAAACAAATCCTTCTATTACTCTTTGGGCTATTTTACATCTTGTATGTGGATCACCTACCTTTGATTTATGCAAGATTATTGGGGGGGGGGGGGACAACCTCAAACTTACTTTGCCTTTCTCACTTTTGTATATATAATAAACAATTCTGGTTCATTTTTTTAAACTGAGAGCTAATCATTTCAAGGTTTTTGGTTAGTTCCATCTGTGGAACTATTGAATCAGCTGTTCAATGGGAACGCTCTTGTTACATCCCAAATAGATTACTGCAACACACTCTACGTGGGGTTGCCTTTGAAGACTGTTCGGAAACTTCAATTAGTCCAGCGGGCGGCAGCCAGATTACTCACCGGAGCATCATACAGGGAACATACCACCCCTCTGTTATGTCAGCTCCACTGGCTGCCGATCCAGTTCCGAGCACAATTCAAAGTGCTGGTTTTGACCTACAAAACCCTTTACGGTTCCGGCCCGGTGTATCTGTCCGAACGCATCTCCTCGGAGTTTAAGATTTTCTGGGGAGGCCCTGCTCACGGCCCCACCTCTATCACAAGTGAGATTGGTGGGGACGAGGAGCAGGGCCTTCTCAGTGGTGGCTCCTCACCTGTGGAATTCACTTCCCAGGGAAATTAGGTCATCGACATCTCTCCTCTCTTTTAGAAGGAAACTAAAAACATGGATATGGGACCAGGCCTTTGGGTAATCTGGCAGATAGACAAAGGACAATGACGACTAGAATTGATAGGATTTGACAATGTGGAATGAATTTACGGACTCTGAGTTGGTGAACGTTGAGCATTAGACTGGTTTTATTGATTGTGATGTATAATTGATGGTTTGATTTGTTTTAAAATTGTTGTTGATATATGTTTTTCTCTTATTGTTTGTGTTGGCATTGAATTGTGCCTTTTTGTAAGCCGCCCTGAGTCCCCCCTGGGGGGTTGAGAAGGGCGGGGTAGAAAAGCACGAAATAAATAAATAAATAAATAAATAAGTCAGCCCATAGCTAAACCTGCCTGCTTCAATGGATTTATTAAGTAGTAGATGATAACAGAATCCAAGACAAGAGACCCTCATTAGGTCTAATTGCTTGCTGCCATTTTTTACGCAGCCTCTACTTCTTGATTTAATCCCCATTCCCACAAAAAGGCATAAATTGTAAAGGACCAGAGAGTGACAAATGTCTGAAAGTGACCCATGAAAGCCATGGAGGCACCTCTACTACAAGGGGTCTCTTCACTAACTCTCATTGGTGGACTGTACTGGGACATTGTTACTCAATCAAATGGTATAACATTACTGCCAGTTTTTATTTCAGCCCCGTTTCAGCCCTCTGCTTTTGGCTTTTTCTAGTGTTTTAGGAAACAGTGGAAGGCGAGCAAAGCTGCCATCTTTTGGAGGTTGAATGTGCAATTAAAACTCTCCTGAAAAAATTACATGATTAACTTTCAAGCTCACCCAAAACCTGGTGAGTACCAGATGAGAAACTCCCTCCTGGGCACACAGAAGATTGGGCAACTTGGAAGCTGTTGAACGGACTGTGGTCTGGCATCATGAGATGCAGAGCTAATCTTAAAAAATGGGGCCACAAAGTGGAGTCCATGACATGTGAGTGAGAAGAGCAAACCGCCAACCACCTACTACAATGCAGCCTGAGCCCTGCCACATGCACAATGAAGGACCTTCTTATAGCAACACCAGAGGCACTCCAAGTGGGTAGCTTCTGGTCAAAGGAACTCTAGTATAATGCCAAGTTTCTCACCTTGTGTTTTCTTAAAGACATTATAACTATACACTTAATTTGCTTCCGACACAATAAATAACTAACCAAAGGATATAGGAGGGATTAACTTCAGCCCTACTTGCAGATGCATGAAAATGTGTTTTGTGCACATGTGATCTCGTATTGTTATGGAATATTGGTGTCTTGCTTTAATATACACACCTTATTCTTATTTCCAACTAACAAAGCAGGTAAATAAATTCCAGACTGGTGAAAAAATGTGTAAATAAGTCTGCTGTACAAGATATCTGTATCAAAAAAGACAATGCTTACTCCATAAGGTCTCAATTTTAATTGGTTTTGCAGAAAGCTACATTTATCAAAGGAATGGGCATTTACAGAATGAATAATAGTAGCTACTAATCAATGTCGATTACCACTAATTCTTCACTGAAATGAGTCTTGACAGCTGATTAACAGAATCAATTCAGTCCTCAGTCCCATAACCTTGTGCATAATTCACAGCCATGAAAATTGCCGTATAAAATTGGAACATGTAAATGAATGCTCAAGACACAAGGCACAGGAAAAAAGCAGACTATTCAGATGCAAAGCCAGTACAATAATTAACATTTCCCTCCTTACCTTGTTCATCAAGGAGAATGTTGTCTGGTTTCACGTCTCTGGAAAACAGAATGATGTTTTTAAAAATGTAAAATATATTCTAAAATAGAAAAGGCAACAGTTTCTTATGACAGTGTATGTGTATAAATGCAAATGTTCCAGGAAGCTATTAAATTATAGAATTATTTCTCAGTTCTACTTTTTTTAAAAAAATGTGTGAAACTCACAGACTCTCCTCAAGGAAAATTTCATTTAAAAGCAACAGCTTAAAATGACATTAAAATGCCATGATCTGAAAACAGTTCTGACCAGATCCAATTTGCTTATGGTTCAATTTAAAAAATGAACAGCATCAAGCTGAAAACATTGCCCCTTGAAAATGCGAAGAAAGAAAATAGAGCGTTAGATCTATGCCATTAAGCAGATCAGTTTTGGTGTCGTTGGCGCTATGGCCAAACATGAACAGCTCTCTAATGGCAGAAAAAGGTTAATTTGTATTAATAACTAAGTTCAATGCTTTTTTCTATTCGCTTGGTAGTTTGAGGCTGGGAACTCATTGGGAGAATGAATTTTCCCTTCTTGCATAGTTCCCATTGTTGAGGGGTACAGGCAGAAAGGTGTTTTATGATTGCACACTTTGATTTTCTTTGTTTGCTTCTGCATAGTATAACTCTTATTTCATCAGGATTGCCTTCAAGGTATGCACTCCAGTCAAAAGACTCCATATAGACAGCGATGGAGGATTTCACCATCCATCTGGGTAGCATTAGTGGTTTAGCAGACTAATTCTACCAATGTCTGTGGGGGGATGCTGGACCTTCTGCTGTGTCTGATCTGCTGCATCATTATTTATTTATTTCATGTCGAAAGCATTGCATAAATAAGTATAAAACTGACAAAAGTAGCGGGGAAGAGTGACAGCATTATCTGTAGCTTTAAACAATTCTTCCTCTGTGCATGAGGCAGGACATTTTGGACAAGCATACATATGCAGTGTTTTTTGTTCTGCTCCACAGTTGCACAAGGTGGAAGATTTGTCTAGGTAGTTCCATTTTGCCAGGTTGACTTCTGAGTCTGTTCAGGAACTTTCAAGTTGCCCATTCTTGGTTTGCCCCTGGAGACAGACCCTTGTCGGGGGTCACGCTTTTGGGATTTCCTAGTTTAACTGCCCACAGAGATATTGTTGCTGGGGGAACATTAAGAGGAGTGGTGGTTCTCCTGAACCTTTTCTTTGATTTGAACCTACTGAGAGGAGGCTAATAACCATGCAGAGGATGGCTTTCACAATGTTCTACCTTATTTCTCTCACAGCAGCAACTTCCCATTGGGGCGGAGGAGTGGGGTGGCAAGCTAGCTTGAAGAGTTTAGCAACAGGTGTAGGTTGGAGACATCCTGTGATTATTCTGCATGTTTCATTCAGTGCTATGTTCATCTGCTTTGCATGGACAGATTTGTGCTAAACAGGGCTGGCATATTCAGCAGTTGAATAAGATAAGGCTAGGGCTGATGTTCCTATTAATTTTGGGTCTGCACCCGATGTGTTGCCAGTAAGTTTCTGCAGGATGTTATTGTGTGCAGCTACTTTGTGCTTGGTGTTCATACAGTGTTTCCTAAATGTTAGTATTCGATCTAATGTGACACTGAGTTATTTAGGATGGAAACAGTGTTCAATCACCATTAAAGCCTACATGCTCCAGTGTTTATAGCATCAAGTAAACTCTTGGGAAAGCTTGGAATTGCAGCCAATTCCAGAACAGCCAAAGAGTCTCGGGACCTCATCCCATTTGCCACTGGAATCACCACACATTGTGGCAAATCAGCGGTGCCTGGTAGGGGGTGGCAGGAGCCAATCGCCCTGCACCTGGCATCGCTTGGCTTCTCCCTTACCTCATCCCATGGGGAGAAACTTCCCTTCACTGAACTCTATGCAACACAGGAAGCCTTCCATGTCGCCACCATGGCAGCATATGCCAGAACCCCTTTCCTTTTACCATGGAAACACACCAGAAGTAGCTGGCAGGCTCCGTGGTAAAAGGGAAGGGAAACCGGCGTACACCACCAAATTCAGCCCCGTCTGATGAGGTCATAAATCAGTGCTGTATGGTTTATTGGAGGGAGAAGCATCATAGAATCATAGAATCAAAGAGTTGGAAGAGACCTCATGGGCCATCCAGTCCAACCCCCTGCCAAGAAGTAGGAATATTGCATTCAAATCACCCCTGACAGATGGCCATCCAGCCTCTGTTTAAAAGCTTCCAAAGAAGGAGCCTCCACCACACTTCGGGGCAGAGAGTTCCACTGCTGAACGCTCTCACAGTCAGGAAGTTCTTCCTCATGTTCAGATGGAATCTCCTCTCTTGTAGTTTGAAGCCATTGTTCCTTGTCCTAATCTCCAGGAAAGCAGTAAACAAGCTTGCTCCCTCCTCCCTGTGGCTTCCTCTCACATATTTATACATGGCTATCATATCTCCTCTCAGCCTTCTCTTCTTCAGGCTAAACATGCCCAGCTCCTTAAGCCGCTCCTCATAGGGCTTGTTCTCCAGACCCTTGATCATTTTAGTCAAGAACATTTAGTCAGAATTTTTCCAAAACAAGCTTCAGAGGGAAAAAAGCCAGTTGCTACCTTGTAGCCAAATTCTCTTCATGCTGTTATTATTAAGATAAAATATTCAAACAGGACAATGTGTACTATTTTGAACTCTTTGGAGGAAGACTGGAATAAATATATAAATAACAGTAATAGTGTAAAGCTAAACCTGTTTACTCAGAACTAAAGTCCATTATTCAGTGGAGCTTGCTCCCAGATAAGTGAGCAGAGGAATGTACCTTCCTGAACACAAACAGCATCTTCAAAGAAGGTTTATGTGAGATTTTCATCAGGAAAAACATGTATCTTCCAAATCAGGAGAGCCTGTGTCTGTCTGCCCAAACTAAGAACAGAGTCTCCTCAATGTACTTAAAGACTGAAGCTAATCAGAAGTAACTCTACTCACAATAACATCAGTTTATATAGTTGTGCCAGTTCTCGACAGCAGGAAGGAACAGATTATGATGTTACCTGTGTATGATATGCTGACTACGCAGATAGTCTAAAGCTGATGCCATCTCACAGATATACAGTTTCACTGTTTCCTCAGTAAACTGCACATTTTGTTGGAGATGATAACGTAGGTCACCACCGAGGAGCAGATCTACTACCATAAACATGTCTTCTTCATCCTGAAAAGAGTACCTGCAGAAAAAGGAGCAAAGGGGGAATATCACTCAAATGTCACACAATCCACCTTTTCCTTGGCTCTTTTTTGCCCATTGGCATCACAGTCTTAATTATAGAGAAACCCACTTGCCTTATATTATTTTGTTTTCCAATGCTTATTAGATGAGCTGCCCCATTTCGTACCTAGCAGGGCGCAGCTGTCCCAGTTAATTTTATCTTCCCACAAAAAACCCCTGCTGCTATATCTGGCACAGTCACATGGCTGCTGTAATATGATTGTTACACAGTCATTTTTTCCAGGCATAATCAATAATATACTGGAATATCAAGCAGCCTGTCTCATTTCATTATTGAACGAAAACCAGTGCCATCAGTGTGAATGACTCACAAGCAAAATTCTGTTAGCTTGAGCTGCCACTATCTAGCTTTTTAAAAATATAGTAGTCTAGAGAAATCTCTAGCTTCATATAATCTCCCAGTTTGTCGATGGATTCCCCTTGAAACAATAGCTGTCAGAGAGATGAAGTAGACAACCAAAGGTTCAAGTCATATCTTGCAAGTAATGACATTACTTGCAGTATGTTAATTTTCGGAGTAACAACATTACTAACCTTGTTGCTGTTGAAATGTAAAACATCAACTGGTAACATTACCACATTTTTCATACAACACTGTTCCCTTATATTGTTATGTTTGGAGAGATGTTCCCAAATAACTGGGGAATTTTTTATATTTTAAGTGCTTGTGGGAATGATGAATTAACAATTTTAAAAGCACAGTGATACTAGCATGTAACATAATTGATTGTTTTTATATAACTACAACAACTACTGTGTGATCCCCTTCCATAGCCCTTTGAGAGAACACACAGTCAATGATGATCTGGGCAGGTTCAAGTGCATACAATAATTATTCATCACCATGTTTTCCTTTATAGCCACAGAGAACTGGAATGTATCATTATTATTCCAATATAATAATAATAATAATAATAATAATAATAATAATAATCTTTATTTATATCCTGCCACCATCTCCCCAATGAGGACTCGGGGCGGCTAACATGAGACCAAGCCCAAAAATAATACAACAAAATAATATACAAAACAATAGAAAATTAAACACAACAAAATACATAATACAACAAAATAAAATAGACAATGCAAAATAACATAATCTTGTCCAATGAATAAATTGAGCAAAGGGTTCGACCTCTCTCTTCTAAGTTCTCCTCATAACTTAGTAATTGCTGGTGGTTTCCTTGTTGATAGGAAGTGACTTTACTCTAGGTTTTTGCTCAATTTTTAAAGGAGCAATTCAAGATGCTACACCCTATTCCAGTGGTTCTCAACCTGGGGTCTTCAGATGTTTTTGGCCTTCAACTCCCAAAAATCCTAACAGCTGTAAACTGGCTGGGATTTCTGAGAGTTGTAGGCCAAAACACCTGGGGACCCACAGCTTGTGAACCACTGCCCTATTCCCTAAACATGATCAGCACCTTGGATAGCTCCTCCAGAGTTTCAACTAAAGGAGTGATTCTCAACCTATGGGTCCCCAGATATTTTTGCCTTCAACTCCCAGAAATCCTAACTAGATGGGATTTCTGGTAGCTGTATGCCAAAACACCTGGGGACCCACAGATTGAGAACCACTGAACTAAAACATACAGTGGATTCAAGGACCTATTGAACGGCTCCCAGTCACAACTGCTAACCTGAAGTCCTTCAATAAACTTCATGGCTAGATTATGTCAGCCTAGAAATCTATCCAGTACACCATATTGTCCTTTCCCAGAGTTGTCAAGGGGGACAGGGGGTTGAACTACAAGTCAGAGACTCTGCCAGCCTGCTAGAACAAACCTATACTAACTTAATTGCCAGCAAGACTTACTGACATTCACGGGGGATTTATCTCTGAGTAAATACTTATATATGTATAAAACATATCCCAGAATGCATAAGTGGTGTAGAAAATGAAAACACCAGTTAAAACATGATAAAGCAATTAAATGTAATCTCAGAGCAATACACTGAGATTTACACTGTCATCTTCTTTACATGGTAATTAGTTTTCACTGGAGCTCCTGTGGCATTTCTCATAGTAACTACAAGGAGCAGATGTGTACCTGAGCATTATAACATTTCATGTCATGGAGCAATAATGATATAGTTCTAGTTGGACTGTGGCTTTAGAAACACAGAAATTGAGTTTGTCTCTTGCTCGCCACACCCCTTGAATGATAGGAAAGTGAAAAAGAGATTCACCAGAGATTCACCAAGAAGACGTGCTCTATCTCCTGCAGGATCTCCAGTTCTCTGAACACATTCCGAACCTCGTCTCTTTCGATGCACTGCTGCTTATTCATGTACTTCATGGCATACATTTTCTCTGTGTCTCTCTTTTGTACAATGCACACCTTTGAGGAAGGAGAAGAAGAAGAAAATATAGGTTGTGTCAGTCTTGTATGACCTTCTTATAGTCTCATTCACATATGGAGTCAATTTTCATGGTGGCTCCTGAACTTGCCATGCATCTTAGATCAAGCTCCCCATCATGAATCAGATGGAAGAAACAGGAACTACTAGCTAGGCTAACAAAACCTCCACTCAGTAAATGCAGGGTTTCAACTACCATATATACTCTTGTATAAGGCGGGTTTTGGGGGCAAATTATGGATTTTTATATGACTTGTGGATAACCTAAAGGTCATTTCATGAAGGAGGGAAAATGTAAACAATGCTTCAATTCCACCATTTTCCCACCCAGGCATTCAAAAAAGAGAGAAGCTAGGCCACAGTAGAGTGAGTAAAGGAGGGTTGCATGGGTTGACTTATCCACAGGTCAGTGTAAATACTGCATCTAAACTCTCATATAGAAAGGTTTACTCCTCCTCTCTGAGCAGAGTGATGAATGGCAAGTGTTTAGGTCCGGAGAACCTAAGAGAAGTGCTAAGCATGCATGTATATTTATTTTAGTTACATGGCAGACTTCTCCTGGCTTGGGTTCTAAGATTACTTTTGAAGGCCTAAATAAAACAAGTTCAATACCTGATGATACAATTAATCTATAAGCACAATTAAAACATCATTAAAATTTAAAAGTATAAAATCATATAGAAAGCATAACACTGAAGTTTTAAAAGAACCACACACACTAAATGTGGGTGGGTTGGAGAATGCACTCAGGTTTGTTTCATGACAAAAGGATGAATAAACTTAGAGCCCGCATCTAATTGTATCATTTCATCCCAAAGGTAAAAGTCATTGGGATTGCCAATGTCATCACTGTGATGCCCATTATATTCCAAAGTCCATTAGGCTCTCCTAGCATCATAACCTTGAAATCAGGAAGTATAAAGATAAACAAGAAGGCAGAACCCATGAGGTTATCTCTAACTGATTTGAAGGTCTTAAAGTGCTGGAAGAACCTCTAGGAAGTGTCACTGTCCTGGCACATTCTATAGATTTACATTGTTAGGAGACTCTGATGTAAACACACTCTACTGGTACAAATCTATAGAGCACAGTGAAGAAATGAAAGCGTCAGCATTTCCTGGAGGTTTTCTCAGCACTTGCAGCCAATCAGATAAGCTATGGATGTCCTTGTGAAGCTTCTGTTTTGTTTGTACTTGTTGTTAAGAAAAGAGAAAGTAGAAGACTTTATTTCAGTTTTTAAAATAAGGGAAAGGATGGGTTACTTGATTATAGAATGTGATGAAAGAAAGCATAATCCTAGGAAATATAATCCTCAAGGAAATGTGTTTATCTTTAGTAAAGACAACATTAACAGTTGGCTTGTTATAGCATCACAGTGAGAAGCACAACAGGTTCCTTTTCTACCCGTAATATTCCATTTTGTCCATACTGGAAGATTTTCAACAGATTTCCTTTTGGGTGTCTGAGAAATATGATTATCTAAGATGATTTTTTAACTATTAAATATTGATGACTGAAGCCACTTTTCAACAAAGCAGAAATACTTGAAAGGCTGGCATACAGAAGATGGAGATAACATGATTTATTTATGTATTTAAAACATTTTTATTCTGCCCTTCTCACCCTGAAGGGGACTCAGGGCGGAGCACAACATATATATGGCAAACATTCAATGCCGGAACAAGAATTCATATACACATACATAAACATTAAAAACATTTCTCAATATTAAAATACACCATTTAAAACTGCATTGGTCATCTGCGTCAAATCTAATTTGCCTGGTATTCTTTCTTATTGCTGCTTTATTGCCCTGTCCCGAAAGCTTGGTTCCACAGTCAAGTTTTTACCACCCCTCTGAAGGACAGGAGGGAGAGGGCAGATCTGATCTCACCAGGAAGGGAGTTCCATAGCCGGGGGCAATCACCGAGAAGGCCCTGTCTCTCGTCCCTACAAATTGTGACAGTGACAATGGCGGGACGGAGAACAGGGCCTCCCCGGATGATCTTAATCTCTGCGATGGTTCATAGGGAGAGATACAATCGGACATGTTTTCTGCATGTCCAGAGACAACAATTGAGTATAATGCCTTGGAGGATGTTGGACTCTCCTGTCTTTAAAAAGAGGTTGGACTGACATCTTTCAGAAATGCCTTAGCTGTGTATAGGGTACAGGACAACTGGATTGGAGGCAGTACACTAAGATCAAGTATTCTTAGTATGCTGAAAGTTAAAGACTGGTGAAACATGTGATGTGGCAGGCAAAGATAACAATACTAGACTGCATCAATAAAGGCATAGTGTACAGATCAAGGAACGACTCCGGCCCAATTTACCTGTCCGAACGGATTCTCCCCTATGAACCATCAAGGTTATTAAGATCTTCTGGAGGGGCCCTGCTCTTGGTCCCACCACCCTCGCAATCACGTCTGGTGGGGACGAGGGACAGGGCCTTCTCAGTGGTGGCCCCTTGGCTTTGACATTCCCTCCCACTAGAGATTAGATCTGTTCCCTCCCTCCTGACTTTTAGAAAGCTAATAAAAACCTGGCTTTGGAATATGGCATTTGATGATTGAGTCAATAACTCTTGTCCACACGGAAGGATGGCGATGAATTGTGACTGCATTTGATGGCTTGGATTGTGTAATGTGATGATGTATTTTACTGTATTTTATGTTTTAATGTATAATGATGATGCACTGTACTGTTTTATATTACTGTATATGAATATATGTTGTAAACCGGCCTGAGTCCCTCTTCTGAGGTTGAGAAGACCAGTATATAAAACCTCTAAATAAATAAAATAAATCTATATATATATAAATGCTCTGTGCATAATGAGTACCTTAAAAACAAAAGAACCAATGAACGAAATCACACCAAATTTGGCAACAAAACATTTCACAACACAAGGAGTGACCATCACTCAAAAAATATGATTTTGTCATTTGGGAGTTGTAGTTGCTGGGATTCACCTACAATCAAAGAGCATTCCGAACTCCACCAACGATGGAATTGAACCAAACTTGGCACACAGTTCTCCCATAACCAACAGAAAAGACTGGAAGGGTTTGGTGGGCAGTGTCCTTTGGTGTTGGAGTTGTAGTTCACCTACATCCAGAGATCACTGTGGACTCAAACAATGATGGATCTGGACCAAACTCTACACAAATACTCAATATGCCCAAATGTGAACACTGGTGGAGTTTGGGGAAAATAGAATCTTGACATTTGGGAGTTGTAGTTGCCGGGATTTATAGTTCACCTACAATCACAGAGCATTCTGAACCCCACCAATGATAGAATTAAGCTACACCTCCCACACAGAACCCCTATGTGGGCCACAGCAACGCGTGGCAGGGGGCGGCTAGTAATAAATAAATAAGTAGTGGTACCATTCTGTTCTGTTTTGGGCAGATTCAGTCTGGAATACTGAGTCCATACTGTGACTCCCCTCACTGAATGAAGATTCCTCTCATCAGAAAAAGAAAAGCTCACGGAAACCACATTATTTCTTCAGAATACATGCACGGATCCAGAAAGAAGTGAGCCAGCAGGTTTTTAAAAGAATATGTTAGGTCAAACTCCAGATATACACTGCCTTTCCACTGCCTTTGAGTCCTCAGTCCTAATAACCAATTAATTCCATTAGTGTCTGGACAACCAGAGTCCAGATGCAATGCCCTTGAGATATCATTATCTGCACTGTATTGAACCCAAGCTAGCAGTTGTTGGCATTGGAATGTTAATCTGGTTCTTTACAAAAATCTTGAGTTAAGCAGGACGGGAAAAAAATATTTCCACTTATTATATTTCCTAACCAATGTATTAACTTTTGGCTGTATTTTATGTCTTCTTAGCCTTCTTTCAAACACTTAATTAAAAGGTAACCATTTGAAAATGAGTCCATAAAAATTCTACACCAGCCACAATTACATCCCTCTTCTTTTAATTAGCAGATGTGCTTGAGTCTATGAAGCAGAGCATGCATCTGAGAAATTAATCTGACAGTCCATTCATACACGTTCCACATCAAAACCAGCAGGCTGAACATGACCTAAAGGTAACACCAGACAAACAGTTAGAAAACAGTTCCTCATATGCCATGGGATGTAAACAAAGAGAACAAGACATGAACGGGCAGGGCAGTGCAGGGGCTTGACCGCTCATTATTAATGAACAACAGATTGCTAACAGCACATAATAAGAAATCACTGCAACTGCATTAGAAATGGAAAGAGTAAATATAATGGAGACTTCTAATGAACTGGATTGGGGAAAATTTGTACCAATTACGAGGGCACAAATGAAAACATCTGAATTATTATTTTTGTTTTGTATGTATTAAATAGGGTGTGGATGTGCTAGCAACAAGTACTGTTTTACAATGGGTTTTAATCCATGAAATCTCCAGTTAGACTTGGGAAAATCCCTCCTTTGGAGACAGGAACATGGGTGGGCAAATCTGTTAGGCCAGTGGTTCTCAACCTTGCTAATGCCGTGACCCCTTAATGCAGTTCCATATGTTGTGCTGACCCCCAACCATAATATTGTTTTCGTTGCTACTTGATACCTGTCATTTTACTACTGTAAATATCCGATATGCAGGATGGATTTTCATTCACTGAGCACAAATACCCAATATGCCCAAATGTGAATGCTAGTGGGGTTGCGGGGAGGATTGATTTTGTAATTTGGGAGTTGTAGTTTCTGGGATTTATAGTTCACTTATAATCAAAGAGCATTCTGAACTCCACCAGCGCTGGATTTAAACCGAACTTGGCACACAGAACTCCCATGACCAACAGAAAACACTGGAAGGGTTTGGTGGGCATTGACCTTGAATTTGGGAATTATAGTTCACCTGTAGCCAGAGGAGTGCTGTGGATTCATGCAATGATGGATCTGGACCAAACTTGGCACAAATACTCAATATGCCCTAATGTGAACACTGGTGAAGTCTGGGGAAAATAGACCTTGAC